TCCTGGGGTCTTCTGCAGTCAGGCCGCGACGATTTCACCCGCGCTTCCCCACGTGCAGCTACCAAGACAGGGAAGGAGATCAGCCTGGCCCAGCCCACGTGTGTCAAACTCTTTTGCATGCCGTGCAACCTGCAGAAGGTCGTCTATCATCTGCATCATTTCGACCCCACCGTTCTCTCAAATGGGAGCTGGCATTCTCCTCTCTTCCCCTCTTAGCAGCACAACGATGCCGCCAAGCAGCGGAGAGGATGTGACGGCCCCAAAATCTTCCCTGGTGGGGAGAAGGTCTGAAACGCAGCCTCCCAGATCTGAGTCCCACCCTTGAGCCGCCACACCCTCCCCCCTCGGGGCTCAGAAGAGCTGAGAAGGGGGCCAGCCTGGTGGGGAGAAGGTCTGAAACGCAGCCTCCCAGATCTGAGTCCCCCCCTTGAGCCGCCACACCCTCCCCCCTCGGGGCTCAGAAGAGCTGAGAAGGGGGCCTGCCTGTCATTCCACTTTGAGAGCAACTGGCATTAAAGTGGTGAGTGAGTGATCTGGCTGCTGCATAAATTAGTTGGCTCTGGAGCCCCACCCTTCCTGAGCTGAGGCAAAAATGTGTGAGCCGGAGGCTAAAAAACTGTGAGCTGGCTCACACCGACTCAGCTTAGAGGGAACACTGCCCAGGGCTCAGCCTGGTCGGTCAATTTGGCCTCCCTGTGGCAGGCCCGGCTGCCTTCCCAAGGGGCGGGCTGCGTGTGTTGTGTTGTGTTTGGGGGGGGGGGGGTCTCCTCAGAGAAGTCCCAACCAGTGCTCCCTCTAAGCTGTGGAGTCTTGTGAGCAAAAATCCCACTTTGCGAGCTGCTGGCATTCAAGTGAGCGAGTCATTTGTCTACTGCATAAATCAGTTTGCTCTGGAGCCCTCCTTCCTGAGCGAAGGCAAAAAATGTGTGAGTCACTATGTGTTCTAGCCGGGAAAAAGAGATTGAGTTTCTAGACACTCTAAATGACTGTGCTATGGAGCAGATGGTCACGGAACCTACCAGGGGAGAGGCGATCCTTGATTTGGTCCTAAGTAACACTCAAGACCTGGTGAGAGATGTAAAAGTGATTGCACCACTTGGAAACAGTGATCATAATGTTGTTGAGTTCAACATTTGTACAAATAGGGAATTGGCCAAAAAGACTCACACAACCACTTTTAACTTTAAAAGGGGTAATTTTTCTGATATGAGGGGACATGTGGGGAGGAAACTGAAGGGAAAAGTAGAAAGGGTCAAAACCATTGGGGAAGCTTGGAAACTGTTTAAAACTACAATTCTAGAAGCTCAAATAAAATATATTCCGCAGGTTAGGAAAGGCACAAACAGGTATAAGAAAAAGCCTACATGGTTAACAAACAAAGTAATGGAAGCTGTAAAAGGTAAAAAGGATTCCTTTAAGCGGTGGAAAGCTAGTCACAGTGAGGCTGATAAAACAGAACACAGGCTATGGCAAATAAAATGCAAGTCTGTGGTCAGGCATGCAAAAAGGGAATATGAGGAGCATATAGCAAAAAACGTAAAAACCAACAATAAAACTTTCTTCAAATACATTAGAAACAGGAAACCAGCCAGGGAGGCAGTGGGGCCCTTGGATGACCAAGGGGTAAAAGGAGTACTGAAGGATGATAGGGAAATGGCTGAGAAGCTAAATGCATTTTTTGCCTCCGTCTTCACTGTGGAAGATGAGAAGTGCTTGCCCACTCCAGAACCACTGATTTCAGGAGGGGTGTTGAAAGACCTGAGTCAGATTGAGGTGACGAGAGAGGAGGTCCTAAAACTGATAAACAACTTAAAAACTGATAAATCACCAGGCCCAGATGGCATACATCCAAGAGTTCTGAAAGAACTCAATTGTGAACTTGTGGATCTCCTGACAAAAATATGTAATCTCTCCTTAAAATCAGCCTCCATTCCTGAGGACTGGAAGGTAGCTAATGTCACTCCCATCTTTAAAAAGGGTTCCAGAGGAGATCCGGGAAATTACAGGCCTGTCAGTCTGACGTCGATACCGGGTAAATTGGTGGAAACCATTATTAAGGAAAGAATTAGTAGGCACATAGATGAACAAAACCTATTGAGGCAGACTCAACATGGGTTCTGTAAGGGAAGATCTTGTCTCACTAACCTGTTAATGTTCTTTGAGGGGGTGAACAAACATGTGGACAAGGGGGATCCAATAGATATTGTTTACCTTGACTTCCAGAAAGCTTTTGATAAAGTTCCTCATCAAAGGCTCCTAAGCAAGCTCAAAAATCATGGGATAAAAGGACAAGTCCTTTTATGGATCAAAAACTGGCTAATTAATAGAAAACAGAGAGTGAGTATAAATGGGCAGTTCTCCCAGTGGAGGGGTGTAAGCAGTGGGGTACCACAGGGATCAGTACTTGGTCCACTGCTTTTTAACTTGTTCATTAATGATTTGGAGTTGGGAGTAAGCAGTGAAGTGGCTAAATTTGCGGATGATACGAAGTTGTTCAGGGTGGTGAAAACCAGTGAGGATTGTGAGGCACTCCAAAGGGATCTGTCAAAGTTGGGCGAGTGGGCGTCAACATGGCAAATGGGGTTCAATGTGGCCAAGTGCAAGGTGATGCACATTGGAGCCAAAAATCCTAACTATAAATACACGTTGATGGGGTCTGAACTGGCAGAGACAGATCAAGAGAGAGATCTTGGAGTTGTAGTAGATAACTCACTGAAAATGTCGAGACAGTGTGTGACTGCAATAAAGAAGGCCAATGCTATGCTGGGGATTATTAGGAAGGGTATTGTAAACAGATCAGCCAATATCATAATGCCGCTATATAAATCAATGGTGCGACCTCATCTGGAATACTGTGTGCAATTCTGGTCACCACACCTTAAAAAGGATATTATAGCTTTGGAAAAAGTGCAGAAAAGAGCAACTCGAATGATAAAAGGGTTGGAACACTTTCCCTATGAGGAACGGTTAAGGCGCTTAGGGCTCTTTAGCTTGGAGAAACGACGACTGAGGGGTGACATGATTGAGGTTTATAAGATTATGCATGGGAAAGAGCAGGTAGAGAAAGAGGTACTTTTCTCCCTTTCTCACAATACAAGAACCCGTGGGCACTCCATGAAATTGCTGAGCGGTCGGGTTAGAACGGATAAAAGGAAGTACTTCTTCACCCAAAGAGTGATTAACACTTGGAATTCACTGCCACAGGAAGTGGTGGCAGCTACAAGCATGGACGGCTTCAAAAGGGAATTAGATAAGCATATGGAGCAGAGGTCCATCAGTGGCTATTAGCCACAAGGTATAGATAGGGACTCTGGGGCAAGTGATGCTCTGTCATCTTGGAGGCTAAAAAAACCTGTGAGCCAGCTCACACCCACTCAGCTTAGAGGGAACACCGGGGGTTGGGGAGGGGCGTCAGTGCCTGTGTAGAAGCAGCCCGCCAGAAAGGATCCCCTTCAGCGGCTCTCGTCCCTCCCAGGAGGACGGGACGCAACTGCAGGCCGGGTGCGGGGAAAGGGCGCCATCTACAGGAAGCAGCCGCCTGAAGCAATGGCGTGAGGTTGCTCCATGGAAGCCTGGCCACTGCAAGTGGCCCCCGAGTCCCCGGGGAGTGAAAAAGACACAGGGTGGTTTAAGTCTGCACAACCAACCCGCGTTCATTATTTCCTTGCTGGCTCTGACGTGCGGCTGTGTATCCAAGAAGGGGCGAACTGGGGGATGCCCTCAGCGTACAAAACCCTTTGCAGGGCTGCCCCCCCCCCCCCCCCCCCGCCCCTTCCTGGCCCCTGCCCCGGAGACCTCCCCTTCTGCCTTTCACTGCCCCCAAAAGCTTCCCACCGCCTCCCACGCCTCCACCCTCTCCCCCCCACTCCGAGAACGCCGGTGAGGTGCCAGCTGCACCCCACAAAGGCCACCTTTCCCAGGAAGCCTGCCTCACCCCCCTCCCCCAACCTGGGCAGCTTCTCTAGCGGCCCTGCTCTGCTTGCCCCTCCCCTCCAACAGCCCCGGCACCAAGCTGGATTTCATCTCACTTCCAAGCCAAGAGCCAGTTTGGTGTCACGGTTAAGTGCACGGACTCTAATCTGGGAGAAATGGGTTTGATTCCCCACGCCTCCACATGCAGCTGCTGGTGTGACCTTGGGCCAGTCGCAAGTTCCTTCAGAGCTGTTCTCTCAGGAGCAGTTCTCGAGAGAGAGCTCTCAGCCCCGCCTACCTCACAGGGTGCCTGTTGTGGGGAGGGGAAGGGAAAGGAGTTTGTAAGCTGCTCTGAGTGAAGGGGGGGGTATAAATCCAATCTCTTCTTCTTGTTGTTAACTGCAACGAGGCTTTCTGGGCAACGCCTGCCTTCTGCTGCTGCTCCACCCTCCCAATTCTTGCCTTCACCACTGTGCTCCTAGTCAGTGTTCCCTCTAAGCTCAGTTAGTGTGAGCCAGCTCACAGTTTTTTAGACTCCGGCTCACACATTTTTGTCTCAGCTCAGGAAGGATGGCTCCAGAGCCAACTAATTCATGCATTAGCCAAATCGCTCGCTCACAACTTTAATGCCAGTAGCTCACAAAGTAGAATTTTTGCTCACAAGACTCCATGGCTTCGAGGGAGCACTGCTCCTGGTTCCTGGTCTCTTTGCTGCCAGCCGACATACACGATGGGTCCTCCTCCTCTTGTTCTGCCGCCATTAACCTATTTCAGAAGGGGCTTCATCACTCTTGTTCCCACCGCCAGCTTCTCCCCCTTTAATCGCCACTGATTATTTTATAGCATGCTTGTTTGGTTTATGTCTTCAACTGTCAGAAACCGCCTTGGAATTTCTTATTTTAAAATCAAGAGCGCGACAAATTTAATGACTTGCTTCTGTCCACATTTCTTCCCTGTCTGCTTCTCAGGCTCAGGACCCCCTTTGGGTTGGTTTGGGTTTTGGGGTGTTTGTTATTTCCCTTTTAGCTTGGGGGTGACTCAGTCAAGCCCTGTGTGGACCTCTGGCCCGACAGAAAGCGCAGCCTTACCTGGGACCTCTTTCTTGTGCAAGAAAGTCACTTTCCGCATGACGGCCATCTTCGTCTTCTCCAGCCCATCCTTGGTGCCGCTCTTGGCTGCTTTCATCAGCTGTGTCATCTGCAGGATCGGGAAAGAGGGGAGAGGAATGAGAGACGCTGCAGGTACCTCCTCAGTCCTTTCACTAGATGTCTCCTCTGGGGATGAAAGGACGCCTCCCCCTCCCGCCGGCCTTTGGAGAAGTGCTAGAAAGATTGCTAGAGTTTGGTACGCATTTTGAATGGTCCGGGGGACTTCAGGATGAGGGGGGATTACATTTTTAAAGTGCTAAATTGAGCTGACATTCAATAAAAGAAAGCACAGTTTATCAGTCATGTGAGTTTTAAGTATTTAAAGAAGAGGTCATCATCAACTGCCAACCTAGCAGTTCGAAAGCAAGAAATTGCAAGTCGATAAATAGGTACCACTTCAGTGGGAAGGGAACAGCGTTCCATGCGCCTTGGTGTTTAGTCATGCCAGCCACATGACCACGGAAACGTCTTCGGACAGTGCTGGCTCTTCGGCTTGGAAACGGAGATGAGCACCGCAACCCTAGAGTCGGACTCGACTGGCTTTCGAGCAAGGGAAACCATTACCGTTACATCATTTCCACTAATGCAGATTCTGTGAACTGAGGCAGATTGTGAGAGGGAGGGCAGGAAGGGCTGCCTCAGGGCTTAGTTCTCGTGGCCCTTTCTGACACGCCCAGGGAAATGCCGATTGCCACTCTGGGGTCAGGAAGCCATCTGTCTCCAGGCCAGTCTAGCTGGGGATCCTGGAGGGGTCTTTTTGTCATCTTCTGGGTGTGGAACAGCGGTCCCCGCGGGTGTGGAGGGGGAGGTGTTTGTGAATTCCCTGCCTTGTGCAGGGGGTTGGACTAGATGACCCTGGAGGTCCCTTCTAACTCTACGATTCTATGATTCTGAAGAGAGAGAAAAAATCCTTCTTTCCCCACAGGTGCTCACTTGTATCACAGCAAGTATTGTGGCAGAAGAGGCATTCTCTTGCACACAAGGTGGAAGGCCTCTTCTAGGATAACAGTTTTTGCAATCCCTGCTGCCCAGTGAGCCCCACAGGCCTTTGCAATCAGTGAAAAGACTGTTAATGGCTTGACCTCACCGCGTGGCCACACGCTGCAGCCTGGGGGCTTAGATCTGGCAAGGCAGGAAGGGACTGCCTGAAGGCTGGTCTCGCCCAACTTTCTGTCAGAGGCTGCTCAGCAGCAACAGCCCAGTTTCAGAGGAGAGAGCCAGAGCAGTGTATTGGTTAGAGCACCAGACTAGCAGCTGGGAGACCTGGTCCTGGAAGTTGGCTGGGGAACCTTGGGCTGATGGCGTGCTCTCAGCCTAACCTACCTCACGGGGTTGTTGGGAGGATAAAATGGAGGAAAGGACAACGACATAAGCCGCTTCGGAGTCCCCACTGGGGAGACGGGCAGGGCATATATTAAGCGAGTAAGTAAATAAATAAAATTCCACGGCATCATATCTCAGTGCCCAGCTCTTCCCCTTCTATTCAGAATTACGGCTACCCTGCTGTGCTCGCACCTCAACAACATCACTGGCCGGAGCCCAGCACAGGTTCTGCCCCAAACGTATCACATGGCAGCCGCATTTCCTCATAGCACTACTAGTGTTCCCTCTAAGCTGAGTTAGTGTGAGTGAGCTCATGTTTTTTTTAGCCTCCAGCTCACACATTTTTGTCTGAGCTCAGGAAGGATGGGGCTCCAGATCAAACTAATTTATGCAGCGGCCAAATTGCTGGCTCACCACTTTAATGCCTGTCGCTCACAAAGTAGAGTTTTTGCTCACAAGACTCCACAGCTTAGAGGGAGCATTGATAACCCCCCACTTTCTGTCGCTCCCTCAGCTCTGCGCGGCCCTTGGGAAAGGGGACCGCACTCAGCTGCTAACTGTTTCCGGTGTGACTTAATGACCCTCTCCTCAAACACGGGGCAAAAAACCTGCCCCTGCAATCTGCCAGCTTGAAGTGCCTCCCCCCCCCCCCCGAAGGAGGGTAATGTTGCGGCAAACCCGAAAAAGGAGGCGGCAAAGGGCGAGATGAAACAGAGAGCACGTTGCGCACAGACGGCAAGGAGGTCACCTGAGGAAGGGTCTGGAAGAAGAAGAAGAAGGGCAGTACCTTGCAATCGTATCTCTGCTTCAGCTCTTGCATGTCTCTCCCCCCAACTCTCAAAGCCAGAATGTCCCTCTTAGTCCTGGAGTATCTCTCCTTGAGCCTGTGCAGGTCTGGAGAAAGCTTCCACCCCCAAAAGCCAGCGCCAGCACAGAAGGAGAAGCAGCGACAGCAGCAGCAGCAGCAGCAGGAGGAGGAAAGAGAGGCAGAGAGAGATCCCAGTAAGCAGCCAACACAAGGAGCACCAGCGGCAGTCCTCAGCTTCACAGCAGGGTTAGAACAAGCCCTAGCCAGATGCAGACCCCCGACCCCACCCCGCCGGTGCTCCCATCACCGTCACGACCAAAATAAAGCCAAGGTCCATCCAGATCATGTACCTCAATAAAACCCTTCACTTTCTTTTCATCCCGTACATTTCTAGCCCTCAAGAGTGCGGAAGGGGAGGGCTGCACTCCAGTGGCACGCAGAAGGCCCCAGGCTCAGTCCCCAGCAGCATCTCAAAAGGATCCTGGGGGGGGGGAGGTGATGGGGAAGGCCTTTCTCTGCCTGAGACCCTGGAGAGCTGCTACCAGTCTGAGCAGCCGGTAAGCACCTGTTTGGTGTCGTGGTTAAGTGTGCGGACTCTAATCTGGGAGAACCGGGTTTGATTCCCCACTCCTCCACATGTAGCCAGCTGGGTGACCTTGGGTCAGTCACAAGTCCTTTCAGAGCTGTTCTCTCACGGGCAGTCCTCGAAAGAGCTCTCTCAGCCCCACCTCCCTCACAGGGTGTCTGTCTGTTGTGGGGAGGGGGAGGGAAAGGAGTTTGTAAGCCGCTCTGAGACTCCTTTGGGTAGTGAAGGGCCATGGGGTATAAACCCAATCTCTTCTTCTTCTTCTGGAGAGACCGAAGGGGGGGGGGGGGGTCTGATTCAGTATAAGGCAGCACCCTGTGCTTAATTAAATGAAAGGCCTCTCCCAAGAGCCAGGGATGCTTCCCAAATTTGCCATGCCTAATTTCCATATCTTGTTCCTTAAATGGAGGCAACATTTCAGGGTTGTTGTTTTTTTAATTTCTGACGGAGGAGCAGAGCAGCGCACATGTCCAGCGGGCCGCAGCTCACAGCTCCTTCCCCACCTTCATGCCGTCCTCTTGCCTCCTTGGCCGACTGGCCCCCACCCGCAGAGGCACTGATAGACCACCTTAATGGGACGGCACATGTTTTTTATCCACATGCCGCTCACATCACTAACGGGAGAGGGAGGGAGATGCAAACTACCCGAAGGGGCAGAAGGCTGCAACGGACGGCACTTGGGCCAAGTCTGGAATTAGCCTTACAATTTCTCCCAGTTAAACCGGAATGGAGAAACAGTTGCATGACTTTACAACGGGAGCCACAGCCCGTAGGTGGTTGCTGCAAAATATGGGGAGAATTTCCAAAAGAATAAAGGGAGGGGCTGCGGATCAGTGGTAGAGCCTCTGCTTGGCATGCAGAAGGTCCCAGGTTCAATCCCCGGCATCTCCAGTGAAAGGATCTGTTAAGGATCCAGTTAAATGATCTGGCAGTAGGTGATGGGAAAGACCTCCGTTTGAGACCCTGGAGAGCTGTAAAGAGGGGCCATGGCTCAGTGGTAGAGTCTCTGCTTGGCATGCAGAAGGTCCCAGGTTCAATCCCCGGCATCTCCAATGAAAGGATCTGTTGTTAAGGATCCAGTTAAAGGACCAGGCAGGAGGGGATGGAAAAGACCTCTGCCTGAGACCCTGGAGAGCTGTAAAGAGGGGCCGTGGCTCAGTGGTAGAGCCTCTGCTTGGCATGTGGAAGGTCCCAGGTTCAGTCCCCGGCATCTCCAGTGAAAGCATCTGTTAAGGATCCAGTTAAAGGACCAGGCAGTAGGTGATGTGAAAGACCTCTGCCTGAGACCCTGGAGAGCTTCTGCCAGTCTGAGTAGACAATACCGACTCTGATAGACCAAGAGGGTCTGATTCAGGACAAGGCTGGTTCGTGCGTGTTCATCTCTACCAAGAGCTCCAAGTGTGCAAGGGACCTGGGTGTGGTTTCCTGGCACCAGAGAGGCGTTTCGGCTGGTGTGGCTCTTGGGCCGTCAGCTGGAGGACAGGATCCTCTTTCTCTCCCTGCTCTTACCTTCGGCTGAAAGGACACTTTTGGCTTAGCAGCTTCCACCTCCGGCTTGGTCTCTTCCCCGGAGTCCTCGCTGTAGCTTTCGAACTCACTGGAGCTCCAGCCGAGGTCCTCAGCCTCCTGCAGCTCTTTGTCTTGATGGATGTCCTCATAAATCAGGCTTCTCTCTGAATCTGGAAAGATGGAGGGGGGGGGGGACACAGCACCTTCAGTAAAGGCCTAGAAAACCAGAACGGATGAAATGGCAGAGAGGGATGTATCTGGGGTCTTCTGAATGAGACAGTCCAAAGGGGAGGAGGAAGAAGAAGAAGAAACAAAAATTAAGCAGAATATAAGAGACTCCTAAACGACAGAGAGGCTGCCTGAAAGAGGAAGGAGAAAAGCAGACACAGAATGAATGGGGCCAGAAAGGCTGATCTGAGCCCCCATAACCAGAAAGATGATGGATGTACACATATGCTGGTAAGCCTGGAGATATTCGATAGCTTTTTCATCGACAGAAAATCCGTCCTTTGATCTCAGGGACCCCCCCCCCACCAGGTGGAAGCCTCATTCCAGGTAATGGATCTTGGTCCAGTTCAGAGCAGAGCCTCCGCCGACACTTGCCGGTTAGCCCTGAGCAGGCACTATTACTGCAGTCTCTGCCCCTTGATATGCAATGGAGAAGATGTCACTTGCTCCTCCGAGGCAGAGTCTGGGGGAAGTCAGTCATCGTGACTCTGGTTTTGTGAGCAAACAGCTGTTCACAACAAAGGTATCAGTGAGGCAAGGGGAGGTTGCCTAAAATTTAACTCAGAAGGGGAATGAGAAAAGGGCAGCTTGATTCTATGCCACCAGGGTTCCTAGACTGTCGCTGCAAATCATGGGAAGGGGGCAAGAGGTGGACAAAGAAAAAGAAGAGGGGGTGAAGTCAGACTCCCTGCGCTCTGTTCCCAAGCTCTGCACCAAATCTCAGATTTTAGCCACTGAAAATGCAAAGCCATAATAAAAAGTGCGCCTGGGCATATTCAGAGTGCTACTCCATCACTTAAGATGTAGCCTCCTGCTGTTCTTAGATTTTATGTTGACTCCTGGCCAGATGTTTATTTTACTGAAGGATACAGTTTTTGACTGAACATGTCATTGGTTTTGGTCTACGGCATATTTGCCCTGGATTTTATTATCTAGAAGTTGATGTTTGCATTTTAAATTATCTTAAGATGCTCTGGGTGGTCTTGAACAGAGGGGGAGTAGTATTTAATAATCTAAGTAAACAATAAATGAATCTCTGCTGCGTTAACAAAACTCCTGCACATTTGGGGAAGGGAAACGGGGGGGGGGGGGAGTTCATTGAGGCTGTGGCCTTCCATTCCCACCCCCAGCCCCTCTTGTCTTCCAGAAGCCCTGTTCACATGTTCCACTGAACACACGTACAGCCTGCACGTGACTGCGTACACCTGTTTGTAAGAAGAAAGAGCTAATGCATTTTCAAATTACAAACAAAACCGGGGAATGTGGTGTTTCAGTCACATGCGCAGCTGTAGATGCATTAAACACACGATAAGAATTACTCAGCACAAAAAATAAAAGAAAATCAAGTGTATGGGGTACACAGATTATACACGTGTTTACTTGCACAAGGTGGGGGGTTTGAGAGCACTTTGGATGGAAGGACGTGGTGAGACGAATGCCTGAGGACAAAAGAGACCCAGAAAGACTCGGAACAGAGGAGGACCAGGAGTACAGAGAAATCAGATACGAGGCGTGGCACCCGGTATCTCAAGGGAAACATCTGAAGCCGTGCCCTACCACGCTGATCCGGGTCCACGTTTTCATAAGGAACATCGTCATAGATCACGTCTTCTTCCGGGGCTGGGGGATTAACCTTTCCTAGAATAAAAGTGACAGAAGGTGGGCGGCTGAATCCTGAGCAGGCGGAAAGGCTGAAGTAGGAAGAATCCATCCCTCTCCATTGCATACTCAAGACTGGGTGTGCAAACGCCCTGGGGGCCCAGCAGTGCCTCAGACAACCAGAGATGCAATGGGGACTAGATCCCTGAAAGGCTAGATTACAGGCAAGCACATTTCTCCAACAGGTGGCCCGAAGAGCTTTGCATTCTCTGCCAGCGCGCCCTCTCAGACCAGCCCCATGGCCATACCTCGCCGGAAACTTTTCCTCCTCCAGCTGAAGGATCGCGACACGCCATGGGAGCCTTCCACCAGGTCCCCATTGCTGACAACAAACCTGGAAAAAGAGAGGCAGCCTTGAAACCCGGCTGAAAAACATTCCCTCCACATCGCAACACACAAGACCAGCCCTCCCTCGCCCCCGAGTATGCTGCCCTCCCAAAGAGGACAAATAGGCAAGCAACCAAGACTACCACGGACTCTGATCTGGGAGAACCGGGTTTGATTCCCCACTTCTCCTCCACATGCAGCTGCTGGTGTGACCTTGGGTCAGTCGCAAGTTCTCTCAGAGCTGTTCTCTCAAGGGCAGTTCTCAGGAGAGCTCTCTCGGCCCCACCTACCTCACAGGGTGTCTGTTGTGGGGACGGGAAGGGAAAGGAGTTTGTAAGCCGCTCTGAGACGCCTTCGGGTGGCGAAGGGTGGGGCATAAATCCAATCTCTTCTTCTTCTAGCTGCTTTCTGGTTCTGCCCTGGGCCAAACCCTTAACATTTCATTTCTTAGTGGATTAATCTTTGTCGCCCCCCCCACCCCCGTCACCCCCCCCCATGGGCTTGGCATGTCGTAACCCAGTTTACAGTACTTCCTTTCCAAAGTCCTTTTCTTTTATGGACATAAAAAAAATTTATTTTATTTATTTGTTTATTTTATTAGATTTTTAGGGTACCCTTCCCTGCAAGCAGGGCTCAGGGCAGCTTACAGTGAAGGTGCATACAATAAATAAATTAAGTTAAAACCGACAGTAAAATACATAAGATGTATATCAACAAATAAAACAATCTTCTGGGAGTGGAGCAGGGGTCACTGCAGGTGAGGAGGGGAAGGTATTTGTGAATTTCCTGCCTTGTGCAGGGGGCTGGACTAGATGACCCTGGAGGTCCCTTCCAACTCTATGATTCTGTGGCTCTATGGCTCTGATCCAGTTCTTGCAGACGGTGGGAAATAATTCAGCTTCCACAAGCCTCCGGCGGGGGTGGGCAGTTGTGGAGAATGGAGGGTATGAGAGTGCCAGTTTGGTGTAGTGGTTAAGTGTGCGGACTCCAATCTGGGAGAACCAGGTTTGAGTCCCCACGCCTTCACTTGCACCTGCTGGATGACCTTGGGCAAACCATAGTTCTGACAAGAGCTGTCCCTGAAAGAACAGTCTTCAAAAGAGCCCTCTCAGCCCCACCTACCTCACAGGGTGTCTGTTGTGGGGAGGGGAAGGGAAACGGGTTTGTAAGTCGCTCTGAGACGCTGCGTGAAGGGCGGGGTATAAATCCAATCTCTTCTCTTCTTCTTCTGCCTGCTGCTGTCCCATCTCCAACCTCAACCAAATGCCTGGCAGAACATCTCTTCCTTACGTGCCCTGCGGAAAGGTAACAAATCCCGCAGGGCACAGACGTTCTCCAGCAGAGAGTTCCACCAAGCAGGGCCGAGGGCCGAAAAAGCACCATTCGACCTCCGTCAGAAGGAAACCTGCTCCTGTCCTCCGAGGTGGCAGCCCACGCCTTAGAAAGCACTAGGGCGACTGACCAACCACACAGTCTTCTATTATTAACACTTTTAAAAATAAATGGTCTGGAGTTCTGCAAGCCATGATGCTAAGCACTCCACAGTGTACTTAAATGCATGACACGGCTTGGGCTGACCACCTCCAAAACGCCCTCTGCTCGGACGGGAGACCACCGGGCAAGAGCAGAAAAGAAGGTCAACAGACATGATCTGGGGACCAGAAACGACTTTCGAGGGCTGCTGCTTCTCGCTCACTGCGGTGCGTGATTCAGCCCCACCCACCACCCCCTTCCTGGCAACGGGACCGCAAAGGAGGAGGGGAGAGCTGAGGAGCCGTGCGGGGAAGGGTGGCATACAAATGAGGCAGCTAGACAGAAGGAGGCATGCAGAAGCCGGCTCCGGCAACATACCCTACGAGGGAGGGGGGGCGGGCCCCCTCTCTGCCTCTCCGGCTCCCAGCCCTGCTTCCCGTAGTCTGCAGCCTCTCTGCTCCGCAGTATTGGCTCCTTTGCACAGTTCTGCTGACTGCGCGAGAGGATGCCAGCGCAGGCAACGGATCAATACCGCTGGCTCCTTCTCAGTCGGCCGGGGGTGTCACCCTCCCGCCTAGCCTTCGGGGCCCGCAAACGCCAAGCCTTGCCAGCGAGTCTCTTTGCCTCCCGTCCTGATGAATGGGTTGATAGTCAGCCTCTTATGAGCAAGAGGAAAAGGGAGACCCATTTAGAGAGACGGGGGGGGGGGTCATGTACAAAAAGGGCAGCTGCTCAGGAAGAGAGCTTCTGGCAGCTCCCAGGAGCGGAGCCCGCTGGAGTTTCTGTCATGGCAGGAAGCAAGGGCAGAAAAACAACCACTAGACTAGGCAGAGTTTCTCACTCAGAAAAAACACGGATCAGCTGGCTTGGTGGGAGGCAAGTGCGGCTCCTCAGGAACGTTGAGGGTCTGCCCTCGTGAGATTTCGGAGAGTCCCACTTTTAATTTTTCAGGCTGCTAGCCCTCACGGCTCCAGAAGACAGATGCATAAGCCAGCGGTTCCCCACCCCACTGGCAGTTAGCTGCTGGATATGGATTTGCCGGGAGGATTCCCACGTGAACTAGCATTGTTCTGTGCAGCGGCAAGACTGCTGGAAAAACCAGCAGTAGTTTTCTGCACTCCAAGATCCTTGAGACAGACAACGCTCCCTCTAAGCTGTGAAGTCTGAGCAAAAATTCTGCTTTGTGAGCTACTGACATTAAAGTTGTGAGCGAGCGATTTGGCTACTGCATAAATTAAGTTTGCTCTGGAGCCCTCCTTCCTGAGCTAGGACAAAAACGTGTGAGCCAGAGGCTAAAAAACTGTGAGCTAGCTCACACTCAATCAGCTTAGAGGGAACAGAGAAATGAAGAGCAAACCTACTAGAGAGCCAGTTTGGTGTAACGGTTAAGTACGTGGACTCTAATTTGGAAGAACAGGGTTTGATTCCCCACTCTTCCACTCGCAGCTGCTGGATGACCTTGGGCAAGCCATAGTTCTGTCAGAGCTGTCCTTGAAAAAGAGCAGTTTCTGTTAGAGCTCTCTCAGCCCCACCCACCTCACAGGGTGTCTGTTGTGGGGAGGGGGAAGGGAAAGGAGTTTGTAAGCCGCTCTGAGACACTGAGTGAAGGGCGGAGTATAAATCCAACCTCTTCTTCTTCTTCCTTGTGGGCAGTACAGATGAGCTGTGGTGGTCTCCTGAAACACAGCCCCCCCTCTGGGTTTTTCCCTGCTGCAAGAAGGCCATGGGACGGTTCTTTTGCATGGCCCCCCTTCATTGCAATGGACTTGAGCAGAACACTTTCCGGGGGATTGCGCCACAAGGATCTGCTTTGCCCTGCCTCCATTTCTGCCTTGGTAAATGCCCAAAATGTGACACCTTGCCTTGCGAGACAAGCATCTTGTAAGCAGGTAAAGCAGACTTGGTTTTTGGGAGGTCAATGCCATCGCAAAGTAAAGATGCAATCGTGTCTGACTGGGAGAGCAGCCACTTTTCACGCAGAAGACCCCAGAGATTCAGTCCCCGCTCAGAGAGAAGAAACGCAGATATCTGCGGCTGGGAAGACCTTCTTCTGCCTCATACCTGGGGGAGCTGCTCCACGTGAGAGCTGGCAGCGTCATCTGTTCTAATAATCCAGTGGGGGCACAGTTTGGTGTTGTAAAGCACCTCCTCTGTATAGCGAAGCTTGCAGCTTCAGCCCCGTGACTGCCAGCTAAGGGACTGCAGACACCAGGTACTGGAAAAGACTGTTCTCCGCCAGTGACCCTGGAGAGCTGCCGATAGTCAGAGCAGACCATCCCGAGCTAGACGGACCAATGGTCTGATTCATCTTAGGCAGGGATATTCAAGACACCGGCTAGTTCAGCCCATGCTGGTTTTTCAGTCACTGGTTTCAAGGTTCATCCACCCATTGGTGGCTGTTCAGCGGGCCGCTTCACTGTACTCCTTCCTAAACACGCAGTAGCGTGGACTGGCTTCCACACATGCCCCTCCATCCCCACGGGGCCCAAACGAGTTCTGCTCCCCACCAACCTTGCAGCGGTCATAAATAAATGAAGCCTCTCAATAAAATCCTGCCCTTTGGTATTCATCTAAGTAGTCCCCTAGTGACGCCAGTGACTGCCAATCGGTTAAATCGGCAGCATCGTCGCACATGTGCAGTTTTGCAAAAACCTGAGGCAAACCCATCTGGCAAGCATTCACAGCCATTCAGCATGAACGTAAGAACCTGGGTGACTGACACATTGAAGCACAGATCAAGGTCTGAAGCACTAGAACAAAGTTTGAGTCCAGTGGCACCTAGGAGGAGGAGGAGGAGGAGGAGGAGGAGGAGGAGGAGGAGATTGGATTTATACCCTGCCCTTCACTCAGAGTCTCAGAGCGGCTTACAAACTCCTTTCCCTTCCCCTCCCCACAACAGACACCCTGTGAGGTAGGTGGGGCTGAGAGAGCTCTGACAGAAACTGCTCTTTTTCAAGGACAGCTCTGACAGAACAATGGCTTGCCCAAGGTCATCCATCAGCTGCAAGTGGAGGAGTGGGGAATCAAACCTGGTTCTCCCAGATTAGAGTCCACGCACTTAACCACTACACCAAACTGGCTTTAAGACTAATAAAGTTTTTATTCATGGTACGAGCTTTCGTGTGCTCATACCCTGAATTTTTAAAAAGCTCACACTTTGAATACACCTTCGTTGGTCTTAGAAGGTGCCCCTGGACTCAAACGTCGTTCTACATTCTAGCCCAGTAAGTTCAACTGCCAGACACATTTGTGGCAAGACTCTGCAGCATCCCTCATCCTAAGCCAGTTTTTTTAGGTTCACCACAATGAGTGCAAAACACGTTTCTCCCACGGTCTGCCACTAGAGGCCAGTCAGTGTTGATGACACATTAGAAATCCCCTTTTTCTACTTTCCCTCCCGTCATTCCGGCAAGAGACCTCTCCCTCTCCGTAAGACGTCCAGTTGCTGGAGCTCAGGTTTCAGCCCCTGACCTACTTTCCCAAAAAGAGCAACCCACACACCCAACCCACATGCTTCCATCAGCCATACAGCAGTTAGTGGCCATAACTCAGAAATGAAACTCGGGGAGTCCTTCCAGAAACAGACCAAAGCAACTAACTGAGGGAAGCAATGCTTGCGACACGGAGGCTGTCCTGTTTCATTACAGAGACTGAGATGCTGGTTCCGGGTGAGGATGGGAACAATTATCCACCAAAGAGTCTGGGTTACAAGGAATAACAACAGGCACAGAACACCTCTGGGCATGTGCAAAGTGTCTTTCCTTCACCACTGAGCAACCGCAGATTTTCCCTCTCCCCAATGGCCCAACACAGACAGCGGAAGGCCAGGCTTTCCGGCAGTTTCTAAGCCCCCCAGCACCATCGCTTATGTTCTCTTCCAAGGGTTTTATTGTTTGTTTATTCCCATATTTTTTACTCTGCCCATCTGCCGGAACATTTAGGCAAAATAAACACGAGGAGGAAAAGTAAATATTAGTCTAAAAACAGCAACAAGCCAGCCACAAAACCAAATGCCATAAACCTCGCAGAAGGGAAATGCCAATTAAACAGCACTAAATGAGGTGATGAGGTCTAAATAACGTACTGATTAAATGTCCATTTATTTAAAAGCTCGGCATCTTTCCCT